GGTGTGCATGAAGTCAAGACATTGAGGTTGAAAAATTGCCAGGGGATTTTTGATATCTCGAACGGTTTGGCCGTGGCGAGGAAACGAATTTATGGCGAATAATGGAAACAGGAAGTGTGTTATAACTTCTTCATACATTAACTGATCTTGATGAAACTTCAGCAGTGTGTTCGCTGTAAGAGGCCGATCACATGGATGTGACTATTGTGAGTCAAAGTTATAGCGCCACCAACTGGCAGCAGGAAGTGTGTCACTTTCAAAATGCTTTGAAATCACCCTCTTAATTTTACCCGATTTGCTTCCAACTTCATCTGTGAAAGGATTATTTAATATCTAAGATACTGTTGCCATGGCAACCCATCAAACTTTGATATTCTTGTTTGATGCTTTTGAGACTCTTAGCATGCTTGAAATTGCATGAAACTTGACAGACACATCTCATTTATTAGCTAGTAGACATGTGCAAAGTTTCAGAAACGGGCGTGGTGAGGGGCTCAGTAGCGCCACCTTTAGTCAAAAATGGGGTATTAGTTTTACCTACAGTAACAAAAATCGGTATGTATATTTTTCTCCTCGAGCCGGACAACTTTCTAATTGACAGTCATTAGCTCCGAACAACACAAAGTCAGATATTTTAGTTTGAATGTGATTCTCAGGAGAATATTCTCCCTCCCTCTCCCTCTGTCTCTGTGTGTGGGGGTTTGGGGAATTTGACTATTATTTTAATGGTGTTCAAGGTTTCAGGGGCTTTTGGGGCCCTTAACGTGCTTGAAAACTCTTGAAACTTTGCACACAGGTCAGCACCCACAGCCATCAGGCCCGGGCTGAAGCTGGTACCCGGGCGTGGCAGGGGGGCTCAACAGCGCCCCCTTGAACGGGGTCCCCAAAACTTGGTCCATAGATCAAACACGCTTGCATGAATTAATATGAAACTCAGTACACATATGGATCTCATCGGGCCGAACAACTTTCCCTCGGTCAAGTTTTACGTCAGCCCAACAGGAAGTCAGCTATTATGGGTTTTTTGGAGAATGCTTGCTCTGGAATTTGAAGTACTTCTCCTAGAGATTGCATCCGTTTACCACCAAACTCGATCAGCTTGAGGTCAACACATTGAAGATGCTAAATTGTGGACGGATTGTTGATATCTCGAACGGTTTGGCCGTGGCGAGGAAACGAATTTATGGCGAGAAACGTGAAACACGAAGTGTGTTATAACTTCTTCATACATTAGCTGATCTTGATGAAACTTCAGCAGTGTGTTCGTGGTAAGAGGCCGATCAGATGGATGTAACTATTGTGAGTCAAAGTTATAGCGCCACCAACTGGCAGCAGGAAGTGTGCACTTTCTAAATGCTTTTTACAAAAGTGGGGGGGTTAGTTTTATCTACAGTAACAAAACTCGATATGTATATTGTACTCTTCGAGCCGGACAACTTTCTAATTTACCGTAATTAGCTCGGATCAACAGGAAGTCAGATATTTTGGTCTGAATGTGGATTTTTGGCAAAATCAGCCTCTGATTTTTTACCCATCCCTCTTAAGTGGTTTATTTAATTCCCACCAAACTTTTTCAACATGATGAAAATACATTAAAGAAGCTAAATTGTGAATGGCTATTGAATATCTCAAATTGTTTTGCTATGGCGAGGGATTAAAGTCATGTCAAAAAAGTAAACACTAAAAGCCTCATATCTTCTAAAAAATGTATTATACACCATTTATTTCTAGATAAAATTATACAAATATCAGAACTAAACCCATTTTATTCTTGTTTTCAATTTAAGAATTATGTACAAGTTTAAAAGCAGCCAGAATGTGCTATTCAGTTAAAAAATAAATACATCAAGTAATACAAATGGCTATACTGCCCTCTTGTGTCCAAAATGATATCAACTCAGTACATAAAACTTTTTATCAGGTATGGCTATTGTAATTAAATATAAATATATTAGGTATGTGGCTGTGAGGATCTTTTCCCACCGGTTAATCGACGTTAGACACCAGCGAGGGCTTTTAAATCACTAATATAAAAGTGAAAGTAAAGTAAGGACGTCCGCACGGACATTTATAGTGGTGGCGCTCGCAGTGCGCTCGAATGAATTTCTATGGAAGTAGAAATGAAAAAACGTTCGCTCTGTTCTGCTCGCTCGTCGCCATGGACGTGCACCGTTATGAATGCCAGTGCAGCCGCATACTTTTTAGTGTCACTTTAAAATTAGCGTCATATCGGGGGCCGATTGCTTCCGGTTTTCAGGGAAAACACAACAACAAATGAGTAAATGAAAGATTCGCTTAAATAGGCGCTTTTACACAAAATATTCCGTCATCATTTTTTTCAGTCAGCTCTTCACTCTCGTGATTAATGAATTTTGACTCCTGTTGCTGATCTTTGCTGCAACTTTCGTTTTGCTCACAATTTAGTAAGCAAACACGTTCAGGTTTTAATTGTAGTGACTAAATGATTTTATTAAACACACACACACACACACACACACACACACACACACACACACACACACACACACACAAACACAGACACACATCAAATTGACGGTGGGGGGCAATGGTATATTTAAATCTGCATATTGTAATATATGCAGGGCACCCCAGTCCAGTCTTATTAAATGTATGCTTCATCTTTCATTTTTAATTTGTAAATTTGATCAATAAATTCAATTATTTAGAATGATAAGACACTATATGGCTTTTACCCTAGGTAGGGCTGATCAAATTAAATCGTTTACACTGAAAAATAACAATGCATTAAATAATGTTATGAGATTGTTTTAAATATAAGTCAATTAAAAATCGTTGGAAAGAATGATACTTTTAAACATAACACTAAACCGTCATTAGGTGTCGCCAGGCGACCGTCTTAATGAGCGAGTCATTGATTCATTCGTTCAAACGATTCGTTCGAACAACTGAGTCATTCATGAATGTGACAGATGTTTGTGGATTGGTCATTGAATCTTTGAGTCAACCAATTCGTTCAAAATGCTGAATCATTCAGTAATGAGAAAACACGTTGCTGTGAGATGCGCAATGGTTCTGCTGTGATCTTTATTTAACTCTTTTCGCTGCTAAAACTGAAAAAAGAAGTCAATATTGCATCTAAAATGTAAGCGACTTGATGTGTGTGTGTGTGTGTGTGAGAGAGAGATTGTGTCTGTTACAGTGACAAGAGTTTAACCCTTTAAAGCCTTGTCTTTTTGGATATATATCTTTTTTTTATTACAAAATGTGCATACAACCCATATATTTTAAATGTATTGTTTGCTTTAAATTAAATTAAGATTGTATGCTTGGTAATTGAACCTAAATGAATTTAAAATTAATGTGCTATATTTCAGATCAATATAGCCTATTTGTTTTCCTTCATTTTAATCAACACTAACTTTATTCTCATCTGAATTATAAATAACTTATTTCTGTATAAAATATAAAATCCAGAATAATCCAGACCAACCAGAGCGCACTATTTCTACAACATCATCAGTGCTGAAGCGGAACTACCAGAGCCGTTCGGCAGATAGTGAGCAGATATTTTGATATTTTGTGTCACGTTGTGCACAATAACCCTAAAGGCACCAGGGTGGCGGTGCCACCGGATTTTTATATATATATATATATATATATATAAATATAGCTGCGAGCAGCGATGAAGGGCCCAAGCCGGCGGCACCGCCACCCCGGTGCCTTTAGGTAACTAAAGGCACCGGGGTTGCGGTGGCACCGGCTTGGGCCCGTAATCGCTGCTCGCAGCTATATTTATATATATAATTTAAGCCAGTGCGGCTGCACTGGCATTCATAACGGTGCACGTCCATGGCGACGAGCGAGCAGAACAGAGCGAACGCTTTTTCATTTCTACTTCCATAGAAATTCATTCGAGCGCACTGCGAGTGCCACCACTATAAATGTCCGTGCGGACGTCCTTACTTTACTTTCACTTTTATATTAGTGATATAGGGTCACTATATTTTTATTTATACATTTGCAAAGATTTCAACAAACAAACGTTGTCATTATGGGGTATTGTTTGTAGAATTTTTAGGAAAATAATGAATTTAATCCATTTTGGAACAAGGCTGTAACATAAAATGTGGAAAAAGTGAAGCGCTGTGATGCACTGTATGTGAAAACCATAATAACTGGGTAGTTAGAAACATCACTCAAGCATTTTTATTTATGATTAAACTGAAGTAGAACTAAAATGTTTATGTATTAAATAAAACTTATGAATGCATAATTATGGGCTGGTGAGGATATTGAGACATTATTGGTCATTCTGTTTCAGTAAAAAAGTAATAGTAAAAAACTACTACTAATAATAATAAAGATTATAAGGTCTGACAGGCAGCAGGGCTCATAAATATTAATCACATTGTCTGTGTTTGCTCAAACTGATTTGTTGAAATCAAAAGATAATTGGTGAGAGGTGAGGGCACTAGTGAAATGGCTAAAATATTAATGATGATCATGATAGTAATTCCAATCAAACTGATTTTGACAGAAAAAAAAACAATAAGGAATACTATTTACATGCAGCGCATCAGTTTAACATGGTATGAAAGGCTCTCTCGCTATTTGCTTGTGCGATAGAAAGAGAGAGATTGCATTGAGCCAGCAATGGTAAGAGCTACAGTTACAGTGCATCAGAGAATGCTGTGTATCCATTTATATCAATGGGAAGTGTGCTATAAAGATGAAGAGGGAAGCGCAATTTTCTGCGGACCAATTCACTGTATCCCCTCTTTATTAAAATTTAGAACAGCTCTTTTCACACCCTCATAAGTGAGCTAATGCATTCTCTTATAGGAGCAACAACATTTTCATGAACTAATGCAAAAATTGTTTCAAAGTATGAAACAATAATGGTCAGTGACCCACTCATTGAAAGAAGTGTCAAAAACTGCTTTTTCGGGCACAGCTACAATTGTCTTTACGCAGAAGAAATGACAAATACACAGTTCCTCAAATCTGCTCTCTTTCAGATCAGTTTATCATCATCCCCCTCCACTCTTTGATGCCCACAGTCTCTCAGACTCAGGTGAGTGTTGTAGACAGCTGTGGCAAGGTCTCTGCCTCCCACAACAGCTCTCAAATGCGATCTTTCCCTCCCATGTGACTGGTGAATTGAATTCGCTAAGCTCTATGTGAAGTCCAGCGCCTCAAACTTTCTATAGTGCTATTATTTTCATGAATGACACTTTGCTCCCCTCAGGTGTTCAAAAAGCCACCCCCGGGAGTGCGCAAGATTGTGATCGCTACCAACATCGCAGAAACCAGGTGTGCTTGTGTGTGTGAATGTGCTCATGATTATACAAATGTTTTTTTTCTGTGTGTGTTTTTGTGCTTTTCTGTCTGTTGTACTGTATGATGAAAATAATCTCTATTCATTATCAAACAAAACTGACAAATGGTTATTTGAATCTTGACAATTAACTCTTGTTGCTCCTTTTCTTGCTGGTGCCATCAGTATGCAAAAGTTGAACCATGCAGTGGCCAAGTAGCAATGGAGCCAGTTAATTAAAACTCAACAACACACAGCTTTAAAACAGACTTTGAGCGTCGTCTATACTCTGTGCAAACAAATTCAACAAAGAGTTGAAAGCAGCCAGAATTTGATAGGGTTTCATAAATAAATTCATGAGTGAAGCTCTTTTTAATTGCATTCAGTATCATCAGGCTGTTCTGCCGCTGAAATGTTTGGTCTCTGGTAATAAACATCTGGAGTCTATGATGGTGAACTTTGATCAGTTATTAGAGATTCATTACTGTTATTTCAGCTTTCTCATATTTCATCATTTTTATTGGTAACATTTTACAATAAGGTTCTATCTGTTAACTTTAGTTAACTAGGTAACACTTTACAAAAATATCTTATTTGTTAACACTAATGTATTAACTAACAGGAACTAATAATGAGCAATACATTTATTACTGTATTTATTAATCTGTTAATGTTAGTTAATAAAATAGTCGTTCATTGTTTGTTAATGTTAATTCACAGTGCATTAACTTACGTTAACAAATACAACTTTTGATTTTAATAATGTATTAGTAAATGTTGAAATTAACATGAACTAAAACAAACTCAGTTGTATCTGTTAATATATAATGGACCTGAACATGAACTAACAATAAAAAAAATATTTTATATTAATTGACGTTATCAAAGATTATTAAATGATATGACAAATGTATTGCTCATCATTAACTGATTTCCATTACACGAGAGTAGATGTTAAAACTTCATGCTGATTTGTACTCTGCTTTCGCCAAGATAAGCAACACTAAGACGTAGCTTTACAGTAAACTATGCTTCTCCATCCATTTACGCTTCTTTCCATATGGTGGTGTGACTCCCCTTCTGTCCGGCGTTAACGGCTGCAGTGTACTTGGCGCGTCAGCACACACGACGGCTGCAACTACAGTGTGGTCTCCCTAGTGAACCAGCACGACAACCGTCTGGATTGAGCCGAGTAGGGGACATCTCTAGGGTCTTCAAGTGGGCACCTTCCATCCTCAGTGTTTCGTCGACTAGCCCACGACACCTCAAGAGGGCTCGACAGTGACTCTGGCGTCCCCCACTCAACTCAGCCCAGCTTACTGACCTCTACATCCATCCTGCTGCTGAGACCTAACCACAATCTCACAATCTCTCCGCAACCCAACCATACGCGCCAACCCGTTTGACTAAGGCTGTCGAGCCCCACTGGTGCGTTAATATGCAGTTTCAGTGGCAACGGTTCCATATGGCATACCACCTACCGCAAAACACAATATCTGCCCAACCACCCGTCATTCACGCAATATACACAGGAACGTAATGACTGTAAATACTATACAACCTATACAAATAAACCAACAGACTCAAGTTTTTCAAGAATTCTACGAAACCGTAGCGTGGCGGCCTGTACACAGCCAGCTAAAATATTTCCGTCTCAACCATAGCCAGTTGCTGCTTCTTTCTGCTGCTTCAGATAAGTTCTTTACTGTGGGACGAAACTCTTGGCCACTGAATCCGACGTCTCTGAGGAACCGGGTTGTAGAGTGTGCCACAAAACCTCGACAACCCACTTCCACTGGATAAACCTGGACTCTCCATCCTCGCTGTTCTGCTTCAGTGGCCAGATGAGCATACCGCAGTTTCTTCCTCTCATATGCCTCATCTACCGCATCCTCCCATGGCACTGTTAACTCTATCAGTTGAACAATGCGTGCTGATCCAGACCACAAAACAATATCTGGTCGTAGGTTAGTGGTGGCGATCTCAGGTGGAAAAATAAGCCGTTGATCAAGATCAGCCAGCATCTTCCAGTCCCTAGCAGCTTCCAGTTGTTCTGGGCGAGAATTGGTGTTAGCACCTTTTCTTGGTGGTTGCTCGCCTGGGCAGAGGAATATTGTCTTCTGTGTGTAATGTTTTGCAACAACAGGCGGCAACTTATTGGTCATACTACGCTTGCCTTCCAATGCTAAAGCCAAACATCGCAGTACTTGGTCATGGCGCCAAGTAAACCGGCCTTGGCTAAGAGCCACCTTACATCCTGTCAAAATGTGCCTTAATGTGGCAGGTGATGAACACAAAGGACAAGAGGGATCCTCTCCTACCCAGAGGTTTAGGTTCTGCGGTGATGGGAGAACATCATAGATCCTACTCTCTTCCATTGACCAAAGGTCTTGCCAGCCCATCTTGCATTGTTCCACACTCCCATCTCATCCACTCTCCCTGCTTGGCCTGGGAAATGGCCTTTATACACCTCATCCTCTCCTCCTGCTTTCGCACCTCGTTGACTACCAGCTTCCTCCTTTGAGCTGGGCCTGCCTTGTTCCATATAGGAGGAGCTAAACTGAGCCCAAAACCCCCTCTTCCATGCTGTACCTGTCCCACGATATCCCCAATTTGAAGGTCAGCCTTTGCCTCTACTACAGATTTCTTTGCTGACCACTTTCTACCAGTTTTTAACACAGGGGCTGCCTCCCTTACACATTTGTCGCGTGACTCTACTAAGGTCATTTCCAGTCTGACCTTGGCACACTTAAACTCCTCGGTTAAAGCAGAGACTGGCAGCTCCAATATTCCTTTACTATAAAGTCCCACTCTGCTGAGGCAGCGTGGAACTCCCAACCATTTCCTGATGTATGAACTTATTAACGCTTCCAGCTTATCCAATGTTGTCAAAGAGACCTCGTACACAGTCAGTGGCCACAGCAACCTCGGCAGTAGACCAAACTGAAAGCACCAGAGTTTTAGTTTGCCTGGTAGAGCACAGCTGTTTATGCTCTTCAACCCTTCCACTGCTTGTCGTCTAACTTCTCCCACTCGAACTGTGTCCTTTAGATCCCCATCGTACCATCTCCCAAGACTCTTCACTGGCTTCTCAGAAACTGTTGGTATTACCTCACCATTAATGAAGAATGTTTTATCTACTACCTTTCCTTTAACTATCGAGATGCTCCTTGATTTAGAGGGCTTAAATTGCATTTGTGCCCATTCAATATTATCTGTTAACCCTCTGGGGTCTGAGGTGTTTTCTGGGCCCTGGAGGTGTTCTGACATGCTCTGACATGTATGCTTTTTTCTGATACTTGTGACATTTTCATGGCTAAAGTCTTATTACACTGTATTCAGCGCAAACTCTGCTACAATAATATGTCAGCAGCATGTATGTAAAAGTTTTTAGTTGTGAGATAATGACGTTTATGCGTGGTTTGTGAAAAAACTAAAAAACATTGTCACTGAAATAAGGTCATGAAACCCATACTAATTATTTCTTCACAAGACTTTTGAAAATTGTATCACATAGCCTAGAATATTTGCTTCAAAACTATGTGAAAATAATCCTGATTACGTATTCAGATAAGTCAATAAAGTCTTTTAAAAATTTTATGACGCGTTTTGTGTAAGAAAGCTTTATGCGGGTAGGCGTTAACCACCCATTAATATTGATGGGTTTGACACCTGAGAAAGACAAAGACCCTCCCCTAATGGCCCTATTAGGTGCTATCAGGCCCCATCATTACGAGGAGCCTTGCACAAAGAATGAGATTTAAAAAAGAATGGCTTTTAGATTGTTTGGATTTATTTACAACACAACATAATCCAAAGATACACAACAAAGGACAAAAAAGCACATTAGTAAACACACTGATCTAAAGACAGAGGCTTGAACAGTCACACAACTTGTGCCATTCCTGAAACATAGTACATACCTGTCATCTCCAAGGTGTTTGATTTTTCACTTAACCATGTTCATGTACAGTCTCTTGTGAATGTTGAAGTCAGCAGGACTCATCAGTGGCATCATGGTCCCTGTAAAAAATAAAATAAAAAAATAAACATGTGAACATACTGATATCAAGAGAAACTATAGGGCTGCACGATTTTGGGAATTCATTTTAGATTTTTCTGGTTAAAATTATTATTAAATATATATAAAAACACCACGTCTGTTGTGCATTGTTATAGCCTATGTATAGGGCTGCATAAAATAATAACAGATAGATTGCAGGCGGCCTATATCGTTAAAAATGAACACTTCAGTAACACTACACTAGACAAAAATATATGGATTATCATGTTACTTCAAACGTTTCCATTCATTATGAAATGAGATTGGAGAAAAACATGAAGCCTAATGTTTGGTGTGTTTTGCTTTTCAAACCCACAGCGCGTGCAGAGGACATTTACTGAAGCGATCGAGCCGCTCCAAACTATGAAACATTATTGTTACATTATACATATCTACGTTTGAGGAGATATCCACAAACACAGTATTTAACAGTAAACACGGGTCTAAACATTATAATATTCACCATTGAAGAATAAGCATACTTTATATCATGCTGTGTTTAATTATCGAAGATAAAAACATTATTGTGTGTACATGTATATTCACTCCAATCTCATTTCATAACATTTTAGTCTGGCACCAGTTTAACTAGTAGCTACAATGTAAAGTATATACAACCATAAGACGCTTAGTATGTGTCTTACCTTAAAAAATCGTTCCCATAATCAAATCGTGTTCTTCTAATTCTTCTGAGGCAAATCCAAGGTGCCCAGACCAAACACTTCCAAACTCGCTTAAAAGCAGAGCAGGTCTGAAGTCGCTGAATCTTTGTTTAGAGGTGATGAGGGCGTTTGCGTTCCTTCACGTGGATCATTTGAATTTGAACAGCTCGCGCGCGTGTGGGCGTGGTCACATTAGATCTAATGAGCTCAGGCTGAAGAAACTGTACACGTCGTTGCTTTCATACGGATTACTTAAACAGAGAATATTTGT